TGATTCTGTAAACCGTTTAGAGAGGGCTGAAAGCCCTATGAAGCGGTATATAAGTCTAACTGCTATTGCTATTGCTATTTTTGTGATAAGCCCAGTTGTATTTGGGGCACTGAAGTATTTTCGTAGCTGATAATGAAATTAAATATCAGGCAGTTTAATTACCAGCCACTGAGCCACAGAGAGTCTCTTTCGATTCATTTCCATCCACTGCTTCTTCGATTCAAGGGGTGCTGCTGCCTTTTCAGGTAACACTTTTGCCAATATACCATGTTTTCCACAAAAAAATACAGAGTCTTATTTTCTTTTGACCCCCCCCCCCCGAAAAAAATAACCGCTTGGCCTTATTTTCGGGGAGGTCTTATTATTTCCGAGATGCAGGAGGAGGCGAGCGTGGTCACCTCATGGCTGCTGCTGTGTTGCAATATTTTCAGGGAGGGGTTTTTTTTTCAGGGGAGGGCTTATTTTAGCGCATGCGCTCAAAAGCTCGATTGGGCTTATCCTCCGGGGAGGTCTTATTTTTGGGGAAACAGGGTATTTATCCTCCCCGACCAGTCTGAGTTTCCAGATTTCTGCTTCCGTGCTTTTTCCTCCTTTCAGCTTTCTAGGTTTTCTATTGTTCCCTATTTCCGTTTTAATGCGCATTTCACACACACACACAGATGGACACACACACAAACTCCATGCGCTCAAACACAAAACCTAAATTGGCTTTACGTCATTTTTCATTTGGCAGATCACCCGGGGGAGAGTGTTATAAATTGAGAGGAAATGTTTTCAGTGCATTCACAATCAGACTGAAATGCATAATTTGTCATGACGAATGGCATTTTTTGATATTTTGCTTTTTAAAAAAAAGAAAGTAGCAATTATCAGCAGTTTATCTGCAGTAGCTGACGTTTCTTGTTTTGCTTGGGAAACACTGGAAGGTTCCCACAAATATCAAGTGAAATGCAGTTTAAACCTTAGTTTTTGCATATTATTTAAATATATCGTGGAGGAATAAGCTTACAAAGTTGAAAATCAGTGGAGTTTTCTGTGCAAAAGGCTCAGATATATAAATGGCAAATATGCATATACATTATATCATAAGGCACCATTGAATTGTGAATGTCTAAAATAATGAAATATTAGATGATTAGCTCATGACACATTTTCGTTTCATTATTCTGATGGCCATTCTGCCCAGTGACTATGTAAATTTGAGATTAAAACAACAACAACCCAATAAACCTGCTTAAATATTCTCATTTTAAATTCTACTTTTTTCCACAAATGAAAGTAACCTCAATGGGAGCGGAGGTTCTTGCTTCCTTTTAATTTAACCCTGAGCTGTCCTTTCTGCCGGCCTTCTAATGATAATGACCTTGATAACAAAGTCACAAACAATGTGAGAATCCGTTGTTTTGTCTCGAATATTGCACTGATAAATTCTTACTTAGTTTCTAGGTTTTTTT